TCAGAGATTGTGTTTACAATGGCCATAGGGCCTGATTATATAGGGAGAGGGGAAGGGGGAAATACATAGTACAAAACATGAGGAAACTTCCTGGAAGCAACTATTTCAAAAACATGGGATAATACCCATTGAATCATGTCTCCAAAGTGGAATAAAAATCAGAGATGGGGCTGGGGTTGTGGGGTTTTGAGGTTTGGTTTGTAGTGGTTGTTTCCTGGTTTTTTTAAGGCTATTATTTGGGTAAAATGAGGGGTTGTGTTTGCTGAGAAAAGGGGGCAGGGATGGGGGCTATAATGGGTGGTTTTGGACTTATAGGTTTGGGTTATTTGTGAGGGAATATGGGCAGGAATGAGTGGCTAGTGGTGGGTCCGGGTTTTGGCTCTTTGTGGGTGTTTATGTTGGGATTGTGAATTGTATTTTGCTCAGGAGTGAATGGAATAGAGGGTGGGTTTTATTTGTTGAACAAAAGGCTTAAAAGAAGAAAAATAACAACAAACAAAATGTTTTATTTTACACAACCTTATTTTTGGCCAGGGGCTTAAATAAGAGTAGGAAAAAACTTTATTTTGAAACGAAGTAAATGGCAAGGAGTTTTGGATATTTTGGGTTGGGTTGGACAGAGTGGGGGTTGGCCTGTGGAACCCTCGGGTCCGAAGCTATCCTGGCCTCTTGGGTTGAAGGACTCGGAATTCTCACTAAAACGGATCATAATGCTTGAACTTAAGTCCTCTAGTTTTTGCGAGGGTGTAGGACATGGGGGAGGGTATGATAGGGCGAGGCCCGGGTATAACACCAAAGGACTACCTATTATACAGCTTTAATTCCTCTTAGTGGCTGTTTCATTGGCCTAAAACCCACCACCTTTTTCCTCCCTAATAGGCCGAAACACCCTCCCCCACAACCTCACCTTTCTCCCTTGTTTTCATTCCATTAAATAAGTGTACATTATTCCCCTAAATAAGTGAATGTAACGAGGAAGCTTCCCTCTCCCCTTGGTGTCCTTATATATTTCGGCCATAGGCCTTGTAAAACACATCTTGTATTCTGAATTTTCCTTAGTAATACACTTGTGTGTTTGCTTTTCAAATTCCTAAATCTATATCTTAAGAGTGGTCTCTTGAGTGTGAGTTTTAGGTTCTAGTTATTTGAATGAGTGTGTAATATCTTGTTTGAATGCTAGATTCAACCCCAAGTAAGCTAAGGGTGTGTAATACTCCTTAACACCACTTGGTTTATCCCCATTAAAAAACAACTGAAGAAATCCCTCCTCTTCTTCCTCCAATTCGGCATACTCACTGCCCACTAAAACAGCCCATGTACTCTCACTCCTTAGCCAAGATTCCAAGCCCAAACACCCTACTTCATTGCTCCCATTCATACCTCACTCTTTCCCCCTTAAAATATCCCTTTTTCCATCACATTTCATTCACAAACTAACCCTCAACTTCCTCTTTGTTCCTCAGTCAATTCGGCCAGCCCTCTCCCCTCTTCTCACCTTGAGTCGGTGCCTAACATCATGTCTCCCTGTTGCAATTCAACAAATTCCTTACGTCTTTCTTTGCTAAAACGTTTCGGAATATATTCTTGCTTGAATGCCCATTCAAAATGTGCCCAAGTCCACGGCTTTGGGGTGTCTGCTCTTTCATCGGTTCTCTTCCACCATTCATAGGCTTCCTTGTGGAGCAGCTGAGAAGCCAGTCTAGGATAGTTGCCGATAGGTACATCAAGATCTTCCAACACTCGAGCGATCTGCTCGATCCAATCCCACGCATTTTGGGGTTCAGCGATGCGATCCCCAAGGAATATTTCCGCACCGTTATCCCTTAGTGTTTTATATGTTACCACACAAGGCGGTGGTGGTGGAGGCGGTTGAAACATAGGAGCATTGGCTATCTGTTGTAAAACATTAGCCAGAGCTGCAGACAGCGGTAAAACGGATCATGAAATATTTTGTTGGCACGGCTAACGTTGAACTATGGTTTCCAAAAGGCTCCACGTGTCATCTTGTTGGATACTCCGACTCAGACTTTGCTGGTTGCAAATTGGACCGTAAAAGTACAAGTGGGACGTGTCACTTGCTTGGTAGTTCTTTAGTTTCATGGTTTAGTAAGAAACAAGTCAGTGTTGCGTTATACACAACTAAAGCGGAATGCGTTGCCGCTGGGAGTTGTTGTGCTCAGGCCATAAGCTTGATGAAGAACCTCGTTCTTCACTCAAGGAAGAAACACATTGACATTAGGCATTATTTCATAAGAGATCATGTTCTCAAAGACTATGTCGAAATTGAGTTCGTTGAAACAAACAACCAATTACATTTTTACAAAACCTTTGGATAAAGAGTCATTCTTCCGCATTCGAAGTGAACTCGGAATTCTTGACTCCACTAAGGTGTGCATTTTATTTTGTTAAACATTTACTTACATGAGCGTCGGAGAACTTTTGTCTTTTTTCAGGTACCCCACTCATCAATACAAAAATCAGGGGGAACCATGCAAATATCGATGTCAAGGAAGCAAAATCGTTGTTCCAACAACGCTGTTTGAATGACCAACAACGTTGTTGCATAAAACACCGCCAATCCAGCACACTTAAGAACATCGATGTTGAGTATCCCACATTGCTATTACAGGGATTTATTTTTCTCATTTCTTTCCAGTAGCATTCTTAATAGCGATGTTGACTACATAACATCACTGTTTCCATATTTCAAATTTTTTAAACTTTTCGCTTAACAGGGATGTTGAAGATTCAACATCAATGTTAAACGGATTTCATGGTTTTCACTTTTTACTCAGAACCTTTTGAAACAACGCTGTTGAGTTCGAAACATCGCTGTTAGTCAATCAAAGTTTTTATAGCTTATCGCACAATAGTGATGTTCAAAGTTGAACATCGATGTTCGAACTGCGATGTAGCTTGTTGAAGATTGCTATTCAAAGTGCAGTCTTCAAAAAAAATATCCGTTGGACTCAGCTTTTAATGCCCCAACAGCTATAATTTTGAATCTTTGAACGGTTGAAACGCTCCACCACCATATATTTTTACACCCCATTTACCCAATTTTACTCACATTTCTCATTTCCTTTTCATCTATAGGCAATAATCATCAAGAACCTCCTCTATCCTCTCACATATCTACAAAAAAATGGCCAAGAATAAGGGGAAAGCCGCTCCCACAGGGAAATCAAAGTAAAAAACCAGAGCACCGGTGGGCGGTGACCTGCCCTGACGACCTCTTCCATACCAAGAAAGTGTTTGTCGTTGTGCCCACGCCTTAGAAGGGGTGAATAAGGCGTTTGAAAACTGTTCGTAGTTTGATAAATTTGGTGTTGGTAAATGCAGAAGCAATATATAATCGCAGAAATAAAAGCGTAAAATAAGAACACATTAAATTTTAGACTGGTTCCGGAAACCCCTACTCCAGTACCTTAAGGCTCCTCCGTATGGATTTCCGAATCCACTAAGTCTCGGTCTCTTGAATTTCGTCAAAGCACCGCACTAGTTTTGGCAAACAACCTTTGTCAATAAGATTCACTCTGAGATTTTACAATGGCTATCTCAAACCGCTTACAATGAAGATTTAACGGCTGTCTTCTACCATTCCCCCCAAGGATTTCAAAGGTATCCTTGAACCTTCTACCCAAGGATTTATATGGCTATCTTCGACCATTAAAACGTGAGAATTTAACGGCTATTCTCAACTTTAATGGAGTTTAAGAGATATGGACTTAATGGATTCGGAAGTCCTTAAGGAAGAGCTTTATGGTACTGGAGTAAGGAGTTCCCGAACCAGTATAAAATTGTGTCTTTATTTTACGCTTTTAATTATATGTTTTATTTATTGCTTCGGCATTGGCCAACATATATTTTCTTAGACTCCGAAAAGTTTTTAAACACCTTATTCACCCTCCCCCCCTAAGGCTTGGGCATAACGACTAACAATTGGCATCAGAGTGGGTTCATAGTTGAAAGTGATTAACCGCATCTTCAACAAAGATCTTTTGTACCCAAATTTTTTTAGAAAATGATTTTTATTTAGTCTCCTTGTTTATGGATATTTTTCAAACTCCTTTATTCAATGGAGAAAATTTTTCTCATTGGAAAAACAAAATGGAAATATTTCTCAAATCCATTGATTAGACCTGGAAAAACGATTGGTCAGTTCGGGTTCAGTATGATCGGGTTCGGGTAATTTCAGGTTCGGGTCACTTCGGGTTCGGGTCTAAGGATGCTTGTTCATGACCCAGAGCTGTCGGGTTCGAGTTGACCCAACAGGTTAAGAGACGTATTTAGAAATTTAAAATTCTTCCATTTAGATATGAAGTGATCAATGTATTCTTCAAAATAGAGAAGAAAATCATTCAAAACAACAACAAAAAATTAAACATAGCAAAAAATTCTAAACATTATCATATCCCAAATGAACCATCCGAGCACACGAATCAAAATGCAAAATAATTTAGAGCTCAAAGAAAATGATTAAAAGTTCCTTCTCAAATGCAGTCATCCCCCATCTCAATTTGATGCTTATCACGACTCGAACGCCTGAAATCCAACTCAATGCCTTCTTAAAGTTTGTCACGTTCATCTACATATTCATACAACATCACATATATGAAGATTTAATTTGTAAGTGTAAAAAAATTGAGGCTTATATATATTAAATTACCTTCATCAACATCATATCCAAATATCCAACTACGGGTGGTCATCAAAGCTTCTGCATTCTCATGCTTAAGTGATGCTCTCCACTTTGTTAAAATTCTACCACCTAAGCTAAAAGCAGATTCAGATGCAACTGTGGTGATTGGTATGCTTAATATATCTTTTGCCATTTTTGCAACATCAGGAAATCTTTTAGCATTGTCTTTCCACCATTCAAGAACATCTAAATTTTCATTAGGATACACCTTGAGTTCTTCCAAATACACATCCAATTGGGATTTAAACTTAAAAGTTGTCACCCCATCAAATGCTAAAAAAGCCTACATACAAATTTCAATAGAGAAATGGATATCAAAAACTAAAAAATTATGAATATATATGAATATATATAATCTGAAGTTTTAAAAGTCATGAATGAACATAAATATTATAGAGTATTATAATTTAATTATAAATAAATATAAAATGAAATTATAAACATACCTCTAGGTCTGCGGAGGTATTCCTTAAATTTGAATTCACATTGGTAGTAGGATCAACTGTTGAATACTCACCAAATAGTTTAAGAAGTTGGTCCTTCACATCTTTCACCTTCACTTCTACAGTCGTAGGATCTAAGGTTGCAAAACAAAATCTCACAAATTGAAGTTTATATCGAGGATCTAAAATTGCTGCAAATGAAAGTATCATGCTATAAGATTCCCAATACTTGTCGAACTTCACTATCATCCTCTTTGCCATTTCTCTTATGCACATATCTGTCTCTATTATATCATCAGAATGTCTGTTTAGAAAACATTGAATTCTCCACATATTTAATAAATACTCCCTCCGCCCATGTATGATCTTCCCATTACGCGTTACGAGGCTTGACCGACTTTATTTTCAATTCAATTTAATTCATTATAGGAGTAAAATTTTAAAATAAAATTTATATAGTAATAAACTAAATGAAAAGTTCTACAAAAGTAGATGTGACAAGACTATATTATTTTATGAAATGACTAGTAAAATTGAGCAAACAAAGTGAGTAAAGTTTGACCCTGTGAATAGTGTCTGGGAAGATCTATGGTGGACAGAGGGAGTACTTATTTGCTCTAGGATAGTGTCTTCCAGAAAATTGTGTAGTAATTTCATCAAATGGTTTCAAAAGTTCATGGATCCTTTCAATTCTTTCCCATTCTTCATCGCTTGGAACTGCGGGTGCATCACGATCCATCCTTTTCACACCAGAAAAAACAAAACGATACGGGAGTGCTCTATCAAGCATCTTAAAAGTAGAATTCCATCTAGTAAGACAATCTAACCACAAAATTCTTGAAGTATCCACACCAAGACTATTAGCACAATCCTCAAATTTCGACTAAAGACCCTCAGAAGCAGTGACATATTTTATACAGTCTCTAAGTGTACGCATGGAAGTATCAATGGTAGTAAGACCCTCTTTAACAATCAAATTCATTATATGAGCAGCACAATGAACATGAAATTAGTCACCATTAGCAGGCAAATGAAAATAAACAGAGAGACTATCGAATAAAAGACCTTGCATGTTGTCATTGTACTTCGCATTATCTAGCATCATGCAAAAGACTTTCTTATGAATTCCCCACATCTTAAGAAGACTTAAAATCTTTTCATGAATGGCATGAACATTGTGTGGAGGTGGAACATGACAAAAACTAAGAATCTTGTTTTGCAAATTCCAATTATCATCAATAAAGTGAGCTCTCAAGCTAAGATAACCCTGTCCAACAATTGATGACCACATATCTAAAGTGAAGCATATTTTACCATCAATTTCACTCAAGACTTTTTTAAGTTTCAGTCTTTCTCTTTCATGAATTTTCAAACAATAATTCTTAGCTGTATTTCTACAAATAGGTTTGCACTCTTCATTCAAATAAACATGTATAGCCCTATTCCCTTGATGTTTTGCAAAACTAAAGCTATAACCATGTCTTATAATACTTAGTGCAACCAACTCTTTGTATGTGCCTTGGTCTAATTTTTTAGCCAAGTTAGCCTTTTTGTTTAATAGTAATTGACCAACATCATTAGTAACACGGGCATGACAATTTTCTGTATGGCATTTAAGATTAGTAGTACCATTCTTATAATTCACAAAAGTTGGTCCTCCCTTACAGTACTTGCAAAGAGCTCTATCTTGACCATCTGGAAATTGATCTCCATCAAACACATTATACTCGTCCCAAATTGCTGAAGCCCATTTTCTTTTCTGATTTTGCAAAGACTCTTCAATTATAGTGGTAGTTCCTGTATAATAAAATAAGAGTACCACATGTAATGGCCCCCAACATATTAGCCCCCGACATATTAGTTACTCCAGGATTGCTTTAGAAAATAATAAAGGGTGGTAAGGTTCTCACTCAGGATCACATCCAGGATCACATCTAAAAGTATAATAAAATAAAAGTATCACCAGTAACTTGTGTTGGCATTGTTGGGTCATGGGTGGTAAGGTTCTCAGGATTACTTTAGAAAAAAAGAGGACATTACTAAAAATAATATCCTGAGATTGGCTTCTCCAAGTCAAAAGATGAGTTGTCAAAATGCAGGTTTTTTGTTCAAACAAAATGCAGCTACAATCCAACAAAAAACTAAATCAACAAATTGAATGAAACTAATTGTTAAATCCTAAAAAAAATTCCGCTATAATTTTCTAAAAAAGAAACTAATAAATTTTTAATTCTATAAATAAGAAAGTAATTTCTATTTAAATTTTGTAAAAAAAAAAACTAAAAAAGTATTATATCAATTAATGAATAATCTCAGAATTTTCTAACCACAGCACCCAAGTAAAGAATTAAACCTAAATTCTAAGAATTGAAGGTTGAAGATTTAAATTTAGGAAGGAGAGAGTTAAACATGAGTTACCTATAGACCCAAGTGAAGATAATGAATTAGGATCAGGAATTCTGCTACTGTGCTTGTGTCTTCTCACCATGTTAATTGAGGCGACACCACTAGATGATTGACAGACTGATTACAAAAATTGGTAGAGAAAACGAGAGAGGGAGAGTCGCCTATCGAGAGAAGAAGAAGGTGAATAGGCGAATGCCGATTAGGCTTAAGGTGAGTTACGGCTTCTCACTTATTGCTATAGCCTTTAATGATTATTGGGCAAATTGCAATCATAAAAAAGAGTTTAGGCCGGTTGAGTATTTGGGTAATTGCCCAAATCTTAATTCCTATTTCCTAAGCTTTAAGGATGCTTAACATGTAACACCCCAGCCCCCCACCCTAGCCGTAAGCATCCGCTGATACGATTGTAGACTGGTCCCACAAATTAACACAAGTCTTTCCCGCACACTTTCTCCTCACTCGTGCGCGCCCAAAGAAACTTCCCAGGGGGTCACCCATCCTAGAATTGCTCCAGATCAAACACGCTTAACTTTGGAGTTTAATATTGTGGCATATCGGATGTTAAGAAATGCACTTTGTACCAAAATCGTGTTAACCGTGAACAAGTGCATATCGGCCAAAGAGATATGGGATTTACTAGAAAAAATATATGGAACTCCAAACGAGCATCCTGAAGATTTGGGAAGTTCAACCACGAAAAACACAAGTCTAGTAGAAAAAACCAATCTGGAGGTATCAGCAAATACTTCTTGTTCATCTAATTGTGATTTTTCCTTAGAAGAATTAAAAGATGCATTCGTTGAGTGTCAAAAGGATCTATTCCGAATCATACGTGAAAAGAAAGATCTAATGAACTTCTTTGAAGATAATTGAACGAGCTTCAAAACCGGTATAATAATTTGAAAACAAAAAATGAAACTTTAAAGGTTGATATGATAATCAAAACTTTTGTAATGACCTAAAGATTATCCAAAAACAAAACGAAGTTTTGAAGTCGTAAAATGTTTTCTAAGAACTTAAAAATTAATTCAACTAAAAATCCCAAAACAATAGTTAAAAAGATTTTTATGCCATCTTTAAAATCTTTAAAACCCCCAAAATCAATGTCTTCTCACTCATCAAATGCTACTTTTAAATCTTACAACTATTGTATTCTTTTTAGTCATGTTAGTGCCAAATGTCAAGTTAAATGTTTAGTTGAGGGGTGATTGTGTGCCAATCTTGAAGAGACTTAAGTGGGTTGCAAAAGGATCTTCAACTAACCAGCTAGAACCCAAAGCGAAAGGGTATCTTTGTTCTAATTCTTTGTTGCAGAAAATAATTAAAATAGAACAATAAAAAAACCAGAAAAATGGCACAAGTGGAAAGATACAAGGTTGAGAAAAATATCATTCAAGGGACCAAGATATGAAAAACAAATTTCAAATGGTCCAAACAAGAAGGCATGTGAATGAAGAGGAAAAGAAGAAAATTTAGCTCTACATCTCACGCCAAAGAAAGAATGACATAAAACAAGCTAAGTTTTCTTTTCAGCCTATAGGGATAAGCATTTCTTTTATTCTCTTTTTTAAATAAAAAAACTTATCCCATAAGTGCTATAATTCATTCATAGCCTTGGTTTACATGATTAATTTTTTTCTTATATAAATTCATTTTGAATTACTTTTTAAAAAAAACCTAAAACCCCCTGAAAAATAAGTTCTTAAAACTTACATTAAATTAAGGGGAGTTTTTTATTTTAGAGGGAGTTTGTTGTACATGCACCTTTTACCTAATGATCTCCAAACTATAATTTTTCTAAAAAAATTATTTTGATAGGGGGAGGGTTTCGAGAAGTTATACGTGTTAAAAATCTTAAAATGCCTTTTTTGATTTTGACAAAAGGGGAAGAAGATATATACTTCAAAGAGAGTATTTTAAATATGCTCATTTATAGGGGGAGCTTGCTTGCTTCATTATTTTTACTCTCGCCTAACTCACTTTGAAGTATATTGTTTGTCAACATCAAAAAGAGGGAGATTTTTAGCCTTCGTTTGCTAAATCTCATGTTTTTATGTTAACAAATAATATATAAGCTAATATTTGTTTAAGTGTTTTAGGAAAAGCAAGAATCCATTAAGTAACGACTCTTAAGAACGAAGCTGAAACACCAAACTAGTGTAGAATATGGATTGAATTAAATGTAAGAATATGATTTTATATGCCTATATTCATAAGCTCAATATGCACTTAAAAACATGCTCAAAATCATTTTTTGAACTAAATCATATACTCGTGCAAAAGTATTTTCCATTGGTTATTTATTTTTTAGTAAAATAATCAAATAAATATTTTAGAAAAATATATTCGATATATTTCGAATATTTACAACAAAATAGTTCTAGATTTTTTCAATACGATAACGCTGGTTTTTGAATCACCCAATTCGATAAGTATCGAAGAAGTTATGGCCATTTTATTAAAATCCAAGACTCTGCGCGTCAAAAATGTACTGGGCTACAAACGGACGAGTAGTAGGACCGTTTAGGAGCAACGATCGACCATTTCATGGCCGTGTAGCTCAAGTTTATAGTTGCAATAGTGCACGGTCAAATACCTGTGTTGGACAATGTGCTATCATGAATATATAGATTTGCAATGTCCTTTGCCCATTGTCTTTTAGGTTTTGATAATGACAAAAGGGTGACAAAACATCATCATCATATAGTGCATCAAGGCTAAGAATCAAAGCTACAACAAGTTCATATCCGTCCGTGAAGAAGGGACTTGAGCATCGGTGGAAGGAACGAGACCGAAGAGGTTGTTTCCTTAGTTGGGTAGTGTTTAGGTCTTAGATTATGTGTTAAAGAGTATGGCATCTCTAAGGTTCATTCCCTTATCATCCTACCTTTAAAACACATTTTTTTCAGCAAACTATTCGAATAAATTGAAAACTATTTGACTAAATCCCTAAAATTCTATTCTGACTTAGTTGAATAAATCCAGAACCAGTATATATCGTGTGTGCATTGCTCTTATCCTTCACTTTATTTTGTTTGTGGTGTATTATTTTTATTGAATATTCGTGAAGAACGTTTCCGCGCAAAAAATTGGTCTTTTGGGCAACACCTCTATTCACCCCCCTCTAGAGGTGTGCGAGGCGTCTAACAAGTGGTATCAAAGCAAGGGATTTTCAAAGCTTTACCGCTGAAAATTTAAAAAGATCATGACCGGAAGAACATTTCAACCCGGAGTTGCTGAAGGACAATCCACGACAAGGCCACCACTCTTCGACGGCACAAATTATTCTTATTGGAAAGAGAGGATGAGAATATTCATCCAATCAAATGATTATGATTCTTGGTTGGTGATCAAGCATGGAGAGACAGTTCCCACGAAGATTGTTGACGGGGTTCTTGTTCCAAAGTTAGAGACTGAATATACCTCAAATGACAAAAAGAAGATGCAACTAAATGCAAGGGCCATCAACTTTCTATATTGTGCCGTGAACCCAGATGACTATCGGAAAATTTCAAGGTGCAAGACGGCCAATGAGATGTGGAACAAATTAGAGGTCACATATGAAGGAACAAGTCAAGTGAAGGACTCAAAGATCGACTTACTCACCCATGAGTATGAGCTTTTCATGATGATGGAAAATGAAACAATAGATGGCATGTTTGAGAGATTTTCAACTATCGTCTCAAATTTGGATACACTTGGGAAGCATTATGAGGATCATGTTCTCGTTCGAAAAATCCTTCGAAGTCTCACACCGGAGTGGAAGTCTACGGTCAACCCTATCAAAGAAGGCCGAGATTACAATACATTGACATATGACGCACTTCGAGGTAAACTACTCACGTATGAAATGTCTAACTTTTCTAGTGCAGCAGAGATCAAAAGGGATCAAAATCTATCATTCAAAGGAGTTGCACTCAAAGCTTCATCGTCAAAATATGTCGAGACAAGCGGCTTTGGAGAAAGTGACATTCTCGAGTTATTTAATGACTTCTTGCAAAATGAGCTTGAGCAATTGAATGAGAGTACAAAGCCTACTTGCTATGGATGTGGAGAGCGTGGACATATCAAGGGTCATTGCCCTAATCGAAAATTCAAGAAGTCCAAATGCCGAAAGCAATCCAACTCTAGCTCCTCTTCCTCATGCGATGATGAAGTAGCCATTTGTCTTATGGCTCAAAGTGAATCCGAAGAGGTAAGTTCTTCTAACGATCCTTTTAGTTTTGAAGAACTACAAGAAGCATTTGGTGATTTATTTAAAGAATTTAAGAAAGTCTCATCTATTGCCAAAGATTTGGAATATAAAATCACCCTTTTGCAAAAGAAAAATAATATTTTGCAAAAAGAAATCGATTCCCTCAAAATTGAAAATAAGACTTTTGAGGAGACTAATTTGAAATTAAATGATTCACCTTGTTCTTCATGTAAGTCTTCTAGTCTTGAGATAGAAGCGCTTAAGAAAGGGGTAGACGATTTGAAATTAGCTATGAAGAAAGTTGAAAATGAATTTAGACCAAAATCTACCTCTAGGATTAAATACTATAGATCACCTAGAAATAAACTAAGTCATTCTAGGAATTCTAAGTTTGATAGACAACCTAGAAAGCACATCACACGTCCTAGAAATATGAACAACCCTAGTGTTAGGTGTCATTATTGTAATAAAGTAGGACACTGAAAGGTAACCATGCAAGGATAGGCAGCAGAATATAAAAATTTTAACATCCTAACATGATTATCTTGCCCAGAATCACGTACTAAAACTTATAGTAGTAAGAAATTTGTACCTTTCTCCGTAAGCGGTAAAACGAAGAAGTCGTAGGAAGAGCGTTGAAAGTGCAAACGTAACCGTTCAAGCGTCCGGTCTCCAACTTTGACACACGAACAACGCCGGAGTCTACCACAATCTTTATGCTAGTAAAGATTATAGTAGTATAAAATATAAAGATTAAAATTGGGATAATAATAATCTTGTATATTTCTATAGAAAATATTTCTAATAATATTTAGAAAATATTATAGATATTTTCTATACACAAAATGATATTAATGGAACACAATAATATATTTTTCTCTCACTAGGAAATAATGGCCGAGAATACACCCTTAAACCATAGCCAAAACTCTCTTTCTCTTTTACAAAGTGGCGTACAAATTATAACGAAGAAAAATGATAAATTTAACTTTGTCATTAACTAAATGACAAAAATTATTAGCTCCACTAAAGTATCAATCAAAAGAAAAATTTGATTCCACAAATCCCCACTTGGCCGAAC